ATGAAGAAAAAGAGAAGGAGGTGAAAAAATATATTTCATAAAAGAACAATGAGCTGCTTTGGGCTAAATACATAGAAAAATAAGCAAAAGAGATCAGAGAGAGAGAGAGAGACAAAGAGAAGGGTAAAACTTCTCATATAAAAACAGACCCTTGTATCTGTAGCATTTAAATAGCTAATTAACAGACCCTAATACCTCCTCCCCAGATTTCCAAGAGGCTCATTTGGTGTTGTCACCTAATCTGACAGCTTCAAAGAATTCCAACAGAAAACATTTAAAAATTCTAGAGAATGAAAGATATTTCTGACAATACATGGGGGAAAGAGAGCTGGAACTCAAGGTTGAAAAACACAGCTCGAAACTTGCATTCATTATTTCAACAACAACAAAAAAGCAGCAAATTCTAAGGAGAGGTGTCCCTGGCTGTGAAGACGCGATTTGTGGAGCAATAGGTGTGCTGCGGGGCTTTGGGTCACATTCATTCACCTGTTTGTACCCTGGCTAGCTCTGAGAACCAACAAGCTTGCAGTGTTGCAAGGGTGCAGTGACCTGCCTGTGCTAATTCTCTGAAGCTCATTGTTTGCTCTGATGTTGGCACCTTCTTGGAATCCCTCCCACATGAACAGGACTGTTACTTCCTACTTTCTCTGGACTATTATGTCCTTAAACCCACCCCATGCTCTTGTGGCTATGGCACAAAACCTTGGATTTGGACAATTGGGTTGCTGACAGCAATAATTTTGTAATGACACAATGAATAGGTTCATCTTCTACAGTGACATTACTGATAAATGTAGCTTTTTCATTTCTAGAAAAAAAAAAGATTGAAATGGAATAAAGCAAGGTTCAAATTGAATGGATATCATCCTCTCCCAAATATCACATCTTCTAATAGCAATAAACACAGAAAATCAAGCCAGAACTATCAAAGTGTAGGGAATATCTGTTATTTACTGATACCATTGAGTTAATCTTCAAACATATCTTCTTGTCAATTGTTGTTTCTTACCAGACAACAAAAGATTTAAGTGAGCTGAAATCCCCTACCAATCCAGACAGCCTTCTTGAGGATTTTGCTCAAGATGTTCTGGATGTTTTTGCTTTAAAGAGAATTAGGTTGTTTAACAAAATTTTTCTTGGCATTTGACATGCTGGTTTCGATCCCTGCCATGCTAATCATTGTTTCTCTGAAAGTCCAAAATTGAACCTAAGTTTGTACATCATTTTCTTCTTTTGTAAAATGCGCCTCTAACTACTTAGGTTGTAACTATGCTTTTAGGATGAAACGAAATAACATATATGAAATAAGAGGGAAAGAATTCAATGCAATGAATAAACAATAGGTAATGTTATTATATGTAAAAGATTGTATCAATTAACTGGCAGAATTTTTTCATCATGAAAGTACAAATATATTATAACTGAGGATATTAGAGAAAATACTGGAGATGAGTGCAATACATATACTCATGTATATACAGAGGGTGCCAAAAAATGTATACACATTTTAAGAAAGGAAAAAACTGTATTAAAATTGTAATACTCAATATGTACTGATAATAAAAGATGAACACAAGGAACATTTGACTTCTGCAATTACAAGAGGTACTCAAAGTGGTTACCATCAGCATAATTTTAATGCAGCTTTTTCCTTTCTTAAAATGCATATACATTATTTTTTTGGCACCCTCTGCATAATCCTCACAGTGTGTTGTCATGACTTAAATATTATGAACTTCATGTGAAACTATTTTCTCTCCATGCAAAACTTAATATTCTCAAGTCACAACCTACAATTACTGAACTGCCTACACTCTAGAAAAACAGGGATTGTGGGAAAAAATCCTGGCCAATATGTAGCTGATAAGCAACCATGTCAGAGGATCACGGTATATGCCAATGCAGTATCACTGAGAAAGAAAAATGAAAAATTACATGAAAAAGTACTTTCTCTCCCTCAGCTCTTCAGTTCATTTTTGTAACTCTCCATCCACATTTTTTTGCATCCTCCATCTACATTGTTCTGCATTTCCCCCAGGCTACAGTGCCATTTAAAATATGCATTTTCATGTATTTGCGTTGGAGTAGCATTAAACTCTACACATTGAAAAGGTTTTCCCCAAACACAAGACCCACAAGGAGCCATCTGAGAATTTCCATCTCAGCCTCCCTCCTTTATATAAATGGAAACATTTCCATCTAATAAAACATCTAAATTACCATGGTTGCAACAACCATCGTGTGTCAATGGCCCTGCTAGCACAACTCTTGAAATTTACAGGGAACCAAAAACAGCCAAGACACCTAGGACTTAAATAGAATGTGCTGAAGAGAATATCCCATTTTGAGCTTCAACTCCAAAAGAACATGGCAACAGACCTTTAATACCAGATGTATAACTCTCCACAGAACAACATTTCTCCTTTTCTACAACTGCCATCAGTGATTCAGGTCCTGTAAATATGACTTGTTACTATTTGAAGAAGGATAACTTATCCATCCTCTTCTCTTGTCCTAAAAGATAACAGCCCTTACACCCTACCTGGCAAAAGCCACTCAAATAGAGGATGGTCAGAAGGGTGGTTGAAATGAACAATGGGACTTGACAGCTATAGACTGAACACTATTAAGCTCAACTCTTCCGAAAATGCCTGGAAAGTCCATGACATACAGTCATTTGTCTTTTGGTGTAGGCATGATTTGAATCACAGAGTGGGGGTCTAAAGGGTGTGTGCAAGGGCAGGAACTAAGCAGAGACGAAGCCAGCCCAGGCATTCCATTGTAGCAACCTCACCGGGAGGTGTTCTCTGTACAAATTCTCTTTTTGCTCTTCCTGAAGGCATAAATGTGTGGGGTCTATTTGAAATGGGCCATGAAAGTTTTGAAAAGCAGGTGCTGTCCTGGAAATGAAGTGAAGCAGACTAATATGATAACATGTTGCCTATAATAGCCAAGATCAGTCCCAGAAATGAGAGGAATTAAAAGCTTTAAGGGACACATTGCATCCTCTAATGGTTCTTGGAAACTTGCAAGTATCACAAAGATTTACAGAGGAGCTGACCAACAGAACTTTCTGAAATAAGGGGAATGTTCTATATATGATCTGTCTAATATGAGCATTTGACATGTGGCCAGCCTGACAGAGAAGCTCAAGTTTAAATTTTATTTAAATTTAATTAATTTAAATTGAAATGTAAATAACCATATGCAGCTAGTGGCTACAACATTAGAAAGAATGCATTTAGAGCAGTCACTCAAAGTTTAGCAAGGATCTCTATACAATGCTTAATTTTCTCAAAAACTATTCTATGAGAAAACAAGTCTCAAACACAGGTACTAATATTTATGACTATGTGATTGCAAAATTAGTGTGCATCAAAAATTAATGCACTATCTCTACTAATTGAACCTGTATCAAACAATCTACTTGATCTATGGGCTTTTCTGCTATGGCCTTATACAGAAAGAGGAGAAAAAGAGGTTAAAAGGAGACAGTCAATTGCTTGTTGATTTTGCAATCAGTGTGCCCCGGCATTGTGGAATCTTAAAGTCATGGAATAGCTCAAATGGAGAATTAAAAACAACAACAATAGCAATAACTAGGAATATTTGATGGAGAGCGAAGATGTAAAGGATTAAAGGACAGTGACCTTTCATTCCTACTTCTGTTCAAAACAGGAGGCACATGTGCCAACAATCAGGTAAAGTAAAAAGCTGATAAATTTAAAAATGCATTTGCCAGCACAATAGAATACAACCACACGGCCCAATAATTCTGAAGCTTCAAGGGCTCTTAAACACACCCCACTTCAAACCCTCCTGCAGATAGCTAAGTAATTTGAAGCCCAGAGAAGTGAAGTGTTCAGTGTCCCTGAGATAACAGCCAAGCCGAGTCCCAGATCCTTGCTTGTATTCTCTCCACTGTGACCTTCACTAGTTCTGCTGAACACAGACTGAGCCTTGAGTAGAGAAAGAGCCTCATCTCCATCCCTACTTGTCCCAAACTCTGCTGAGTAGAAAATAAAGAGCATTTTAACCATGCTGCTCTGCTTGACCCAAACGTTCCCTTCACTGAAACAGAATTCCTAAAGCCTATGCAATTAACACAATTTACCAAGCACATCGTGGAAAAGGAAATTGTAATACACAAATGTTTTAAGAGAATGCTTTACATAGGGACAGTTTTCCCATTTAACATGTATTTCGCTATAAAAGTTGCTCACTTTTATACTCAAAAAGAGTATAAAAAGTATACTCAAAAGAGACATGGGTTCAAGAGAGAGAGCTCCAAATTTCCAAAGCAAATGACGACTCATCATATGTTTTTGCTGACTCAGTGGGACCATGGAAAAATATCAAGAGAGAAAGAAGCAAACAAGTATTTTAAGGACCAAAACAACCACCTTCTTTTAGAGCTAGAACTTAGGTATCATTTAGCTCTAAACTATCACTTCACAAGTGAAAAAAACTGAGATGGCCGATTTCAAATGACTTGTTTCAGGTCACACAGTTAGTACGTAAAAGAATTGGGTCTTAGAGTCAGGATTTCTGTCTCCAGGTTTGGTGATTTTGTTACTCTAGAAACCACAAGAAGATGGGTGTCTACAAACCAGAAAAGTAAAGAAATGGACAATTATCCTGCCTATGTCATAGTTGTTTTCAAATGTCTGTTATTTTTCATTTGAGCTCTATTTGAACATAAAACGTTTCATGGTTTTGTTGGTCATCACAGGGAATGCAGACGGAAGAAAATAAATTATGTTGCAGGGGCTATGTTAAAGATCAGGGAATAAATCCACTTGATTGCCTGAATTTTGTAAACTTTCCTGGTCCTCAGATAATCTTCTACAGATAAATGCCACCCTGCTGCTGATAAGAGCAAGCGATAAATAACACTGCGCATTTTAAATGTCACGTACTTTGAATGTTATACTGTGCTCTTATAAATGAATCCATAAGAGAAAAAGAAAATGCTAAGTAAATACAGTGATGGGGCTTACATTCTTGTGCTGCTAGTCTTGTTGATGATCACAGATTTTCCTGTTTGATCCACGTTGTGATCCAACCCAAAGTAAGCTGCCACTCGATGGACGAGCATCCTCTGATAGGATGACATCTGAGGGAACTTTTTATAATGATTACTGAAAGAAAGTACAAACAAACAAACACAAACAAAACACACCACCACGGAATCAGCATTTTTGTTCCTGGCCCGATAGACATTTTACAGGTACCCACACAAACCCGTTTCTCTTTCATTCAAACCACTAAGCCCATTTCATCGCTGGCATCGCTTAATGTTCTCATTTCCGGACAAATGTTCCACTTATAGATTTATCCATTAAGTGACAATAAATATCTTTGTTTGGTAGTTGCACATTGCTCTCACCAAAGAGAACTTAATGTCTGTTGCAAAGTATTCTATTTTAGTCCATGATACCTTATCAACGGAGCCAGGCACAGGACAAATGATATGATATAATATGTGACTGCAGATGCCTATCTGGAGATGTGTCATTACACGGTTTACACTGAAAGCAGTGCAATTATTTCCAGGCATAACTGACTGCAGCCAGCTGGAGCCCATTAAAAAACTATAATAAAAATGAAAAGGGTCGCTTCTTGCTACAGTGACTCTATGCTAATCAGTAGCCCCCTGTTTATAGCCATTTTGTCAGGAATTTAACAAGCAGAAGCACACATGGTCCAAGCAACAATTCTCATTAGTATATAGCTCCTAAATCCAATAGAATCTTCATTTAACAAATCAGCAAACATATTAAACAATGTTTTATCTATCCCTAAATCTTTCCAGAATGAATAATTAAACCCAAATCCCAATCTAAGACATGTCATATAAAGGAACCAGTGTTGCAATTTCACATACTTGTTGTCACCAATGAAATCAATAATTTCCTGCTCCATTTTCAAGAGTATCATCCTGTCCCTGCAAAATAAATGTTAAAATGAAAAGGTTTTATGTACTTCCCATTCCTAAAGACCTAAAACGTTCATTTGGATGTATGGAAAAGATGGCTTTCATGTATGTGACTACAAGCCTGCATCCAATTCTTCTCTGGAACATGCTGTCCAACACATGGTTTTAGTCTACATAAAATTATTTCTCATCTCATTTGTTAAGAATTTTGTAATATTGCAACTTTTGTAGTTTTAATGTTAATCAGGATATGCAAGGCATTAGGCCCATAAAACACATCAAATAGACTGTATATTTTAAATTAACAGGAAACTAGAACAAAGCAAAGCCCAATTAGGTGGTTATATAACTGCATTAATGCATAATTGGTTTATTTGATACTGATTTTTTTCCCCCTTTACCAGTATCTCTTTGTGACCAGGAAAGCAGAATTTGCTAACTATAATTTATTCACTGGATAACCACCGAGGAATCAAGACTATCTATAAACAGTAAACATACAAACTATTAACAGAAACGAGAAAATACAAGAGATAGTTTAAGACATCAGAGAAGGTGTCTGCACTTTACAACTCCCTTCTTAGACATGTTCAGATTAATGACTTTGATTGTAGTATTCCACTTGACTCTTCTAAAAATAAGAGGTGTATTTAATAATTTACCTGGAATTATTCTTTAATGTGTTAATCAGAAACTCATGCAAGTCTATGCCTGTAGAATCCGTATATTCTTGGCTGCAATCTGAAACAAATAGCAGGATGGAGTTGTCAGGAATGGTGGGGAGGTGGGGTAGAAAAGGTTTTCCCAACCTTTCCCATTTCCCTCCTGCTCAGGTAAATGTTAGGTAAAGCCATTGGCATGAAAGACACATATTTCAAAACTAGCAATCTGACAGTATAGCATCAGGATGAAAATTAGATTCTGGGATTGGCAACACCCAATAGATCCCGAGTGTGGAAAGACCCAACAGTCATAATGGGGGAGGTGCGCACAGTCTGGGTGGGTGGTGGGTGGAGTCAAACACCACACATTCATTCTGTATTTTAAATCAGCAAGGGCACGACCTCCATGTGTCAGTTACTCGCGGCCAACAGAGAGAGCTCTCAAGAGTTTGAGATCCCAAGGAAACCTTTTTCTCTTAAAACAAAGGAGGCAAAAAAAATAAAAATTCTGTTCTCAGACTACCTAAATATTAATCAGTACAAAACACAGGAGGACACTAAATATTTCCAAATCTTTCAAATCTTCTGATGCTGGCTAAAACTTAGTTTCTAAAACCATTTTAGGAACCTGTACTTCCTTACTCTTGTATATGCATTAGGTTTTAGATATTTGGCAGCAAAGACAATTATTATAAGCAGATAGGTGGTTATAGAGCATAATATTAGAACTAGTTATCATTCCTCAGCTGATTGGATGCCCTATTCTTTCTCAGCTATTGGGAAAAAAGTCTATTGCAAAGCTATTTATTCATGGCATTCTTCATTTCAACTTAACTTAATTTTGTTTTTGTTTTCTTTTAGCTTTGTACAATTATATGTATGGCAACAATTTGAAAAGTCTGGATTGTAGGTGTGCAGTTTTAGAAGGAATGATTTTTTTGGGAAAACTTTTTATTGAAGTAGAAGCCTGTGGATTTTAAGTGAGATATTATATGGCAATATACGGGTTGCAGAGACCAAATTCATCTGTGCCAGGCAAAATGTTGTGTGTATTTCATTGACATTGACACATACATCCGTGCTTTGGGGGTGACATCACTTATGGACTGAGAATTGCTAATCCACTGTCTTTTAATGATAAACATGAGAGCTAAGATATAAAACTGGGTATCATTTTCCATCAATCCAAGTTAATGGGATGAATAAACCTGAATCAAGAGCAGATTTATAGTCATTGCTTTGTACACACTTATCTTTGAAAATAGGAGATCCAAATGAAAATCCAGAAAATCTGCAATACTAAAAATAACCTGTCTACACAAATAATGACACTGTGAACGAAAAAAAAATCAATTTCACATCTTTTACACACACACACACACACACACACACAAACACAACATTATATGCAGTTTAGTGGGAGGTGGCTATGTGTATAAAATCTAGAAGGTATTCTGTGACTCTGTGTGTCCAAATTGAGTAAGTTAAGGAAACATTTTCACATTCACCTTTTGATAACATTCTGATCTTGGGTTTTTCAGAGGATTTATCTTTGTTTTTATCCTTCTCTTTTTCTCTTTCAGAGTCATCTTTCCTAGATTTATCATCCTCTTGCAGGCTGGGAAAACTGGAAAGCTGTAAATGAATTGATTCCTGTTGGGGAAAAAATATAATAATTTAGGGCCAGATTTAATAATCTCTGTCTGGTTTCCATTTTGCATAGAGGTTATTAAGTACTGGAAAATGAAAGCCAGGTGCAGATTTTTTTTTCTTAAATGGCAAAAAATGAAACCTGTCAGAAAAATAATTGCCCTTTAAGGTGAATTAAACTTCAGAAGTCAATGGGAGGTCATGAGAAACATCTAGTACTAAAACTTTGCCTCATGAATATTAAACTTCAGCAAGTTACTTTCCAGTAGATCACAACTCTTATTTTCTCTACAGGTTTATTTTTAAACGCCTAGGAAAAAATTCTTGATCGGTAAGCTTGCATGACAGTCACTGTCATGTCTCAAAAAAAAAAGAGAGGCTTCTACAGTTCTTTTCTATAATTCCTTATAAGAAGAAATTGGCACAAACAAAAACAGACATATATTACAAATCATAATTACAGATAGTACATACATAGATAAAGGTCCTAATAGCCAATGTACAATAAAAGTCTATTTTTAAACTGTATCAACAATGATTTTTACTGCAAAAAAACCCAGGCTGCATAATTACAGGAATCTTAGGTATGGATTATGACCGTACATGGTTTACAAGTGCCGTTAATAAACCATCAGAATATATACTTACAATAAGTATTGCCTTTTAGAAAAGGTAGAAAGCAGAATTATATTTTCCATCAATTATATACAAATATTTAATATTATTTTAATTTTAGTATCAGTCATTTCTAAAATGTAAGATTCTCTTGAACTGATACTTGGTATAAGATTGACCATTTATAGTCCTGGGTCTCAATCTGCTTTTATATTTATTTGTTTTGCACGGAAAATGAATCATTTTGTATTAACTCGTATATCAGCCATTTGGTTGATAGCATGTTCACTGTTTTGAAGAAGAATGAGCCAAATTATGTTTTTTCGTTTTATGAAAAACCTATGCTATGATTAAAACTATGACAAATTAGCCAACATTAAGCCCACTTGTTCTTATGTAAGAGATCATTTGATGGGAAAGCTTGCTTTCATGAGTGACATTAAAATTTATGATGTAGGGAAAAAAATATTTCCAGTGACTAATAGTGTTTCTCACTGAAAACTAAACTAGTGTTCATCTACATGTGACTAAACCGATGCCTGTACATCCTCAAATTATAGCCCATCTGGGATTCCTAATGGTTTTTGGTAAACCTGGCTAATCCAACAAGCATAAAATAAAAGTCCTCCAAAGCCAAGTTTCTGTTTTGGGGGGAGGGCCTGCATTGTGAATTCCTGGCTGGAATAAAAAGTCACCATGGTTGGAAAGACACATGCTATAGAGGATAAACTAAAACATGTTCTCATGACACAGATTTAATCTTAGCAGATTTCCTGACTTTCACATGCTTATGTTGGAGATGAACATATACAAAATACGTAAAACTGAGTGTAATTTGATGATAGGTTCCTTTATCATTTGATTTGGGGCAGAGATGTCTGAGCCTGCAAATGTTTGGGCAGATTTTAGGGTTGTGATATGCTTCTACTTGCTAAGGAAACGGCTGCAATGTTTTTCACTCAGAAGATAGGGCAAGGGCAGAAGAAGAATCAATTGGACAGCTGATCAGGAGAAATTGAGAGTACCAGGCCCTGGGAGTGGTCTCATTGCTTCTTCAAAACTGACTGAACCATCCAGCCTCTGTAAGTTTGAATCTAAAATCAAAGAGGCTTGGAAATGTAAACGCAAGAGCAGAGGCTGTCAGCTACAAAAAAATTGGACAAACTCATGTGTTGACAAATGCTGTACTTAGAAAAATGCCTCTCTGTTCTATACATAAATACACATTATGGTGTTGAAAGAACACACAAAAGTGCTATAGAGTTGGTAAAAAACAATCTGTTATTTTTTAATATTTTTATTGATATGCTCAATAATAAAATACAAGTGTTAATAAATACATCGGTACAGGATAAGTTGATATCCAACAACAGGAAAAGAATGATTCAAGTTGCAGTAATACACTGATAGGTTAAAGAGTATAACATTAGAAAAGCATAACTCCTTTCACTGAAGGACAGACTGAACCATCAGCTATGGGTCTGAGATCAAGTAATACAGGTAGCAAGAGTTTTTCCCACACAGGAAAATGAAGGCAGTTTTCCAAATACTGTGAATATACAAACATCGGGGAAGTAATACAATCCATACACTGTATACTTCTGCCAGTGTTCTCTGGGATTCAGAGCCCACACTTTACAAATGCCAGTGTTACCTAAGGAAGGCAGTGCCTATAAGCTTAGAGGTCTGTGTCTTTATTCTCTGAAAGAGTAGCATGGCTACTTGCTTATATGTGTGTCTGGATATTTTCTAGCAGGCCCCCCCCTGCCCCGCTCCCACCACCCCTCAGGCAGTCCAAAGAGAAGCTTGCAGCTCTAATTCTCTCCTACAAAGCTAGTCTTGGTTACTGAGCTTGGAACCAGCAGGAACAAAGCACCGTGTGCATGTTATTTCTCTGCACCAGTTGGATGGAGACACTAGACTTAGGTCCAGGACGGGTACTATGATACAGGTGATCTCTTAAAAAAACTTCCTCCTGGTACCTTGTCAAATGGGATAAAAAAGCAGATTACATCTATCAAGGCTGTCCTCCTCTGCCTGGCATTAGGAGTGGGGTAACAACTGGGGCGTTCCTTCTCCCAGAGTCTGTCATTTTGCGGAGTTAACATATATCGTGTGCAGGACGTTACAAGCCTTCCGTCAACGTTGCATAATACAAGCCGTGATAGTCATGATTCCCCCTTCTCAATCTCCATTAGAAAATAGAAGCACAAATAAAATGCTGAAGAAAAGCCACACATTTCTCAGAACCCAAGGAAAATAAAGCTCGTGTATGAAATCTAGTGATGGCCACTGAAAGGTAGCCTGTCCATGCCTTGCGACATGAGTGGCATGTTAAGAAGATGAGGCTAGAAAAAAAAATACTCTTAGGACGAAACCTAGGAGAGATTTATTTTTGGTCCTTTTAAAGAAAGTGCTCTCAATGCTCTCTGTATCCATGAGGAGAATTTAAATGATTTCAATTAAAGTACAGAGAGAAAAGCAAAACAAGACCAAACAAAAATAATGATATCTTAATCAATTTTCCCTCCCCTGGGCTCAGATAAATCATTTTAGTTTTGCCTTGAATGCTCTCAGCCTCTGATAAAATAAGGGAAATAGCAGCAGCAAGACTATTTTAATAAAAGCTAATATGATGCCTAAAAGGCAAACAGAAATAAATATGATGTGAAGTTTCCCATTTTGTCACGAAAGGGTTTTGCTGGAATTTGAATTTTTAGAGCCTAATAGTCTTGCTGTAAGGAGCAAAAATAAGTGTAAGGATATACAGCAATATATTAACAACATTAACTTAAATTCACCATCCACTCAGATTCACATCTGAACAATTTTTCCAGTATTGAGAATTCCCCACCAAAGGCCATAAAAGTGTTTCACCAAAGCTCAACGCACCCTTTTCACTATTTCTAAAGTTTCATAAGAGCCAGTGTTGTGTTTCTTATAGGCAAATGCATTTTGGGGAGGTGAGAGGTAAGGATCTCCTATAGGAAGGAGACGGGACACTTAGAGCTATATTTGGTTCAGTCTTATCAAGAGAGAGCCTTTGAGGAAATTCAGCACTACCGGGCTTACTTTTTAAAGTTTTAATCTAAATTCTTTTGAATTCCTTTCCATATGCAGTTTTCAGAGGGTCTGGAAAAAAACAAATGTGATACTCTGTGACAAACCGTGACACTTGTTCAGAATGTCTTATACACAGGGGATGGAGCCAGAAAATGATTTCTTTCTTCCACTGTTTTTTTTTCTCCCCCAAAACACTGTCTAATGCCAAATGAATGCCCATGCACACAACAAAGGTGGACCCCGTTCATGCAAGCAATGATATATATAACAGGGGTGTACCTGGTCTTGAAGAGTTTCACCTCCGGATCTGGCCGAGGATTCTTCACAGACAGCAAGGCTGCGAGTCAGTTTACCTTTTCCTGCTCCTGACTGGGAAGGGGGCGGGGGAGGAGGGGAAAGAAAGAGGGAAGGAAAAGAAAATAAAGAAAACAAACAGAAAACCTTCTCAGGCCATCAGATCATCTCTTCCTTCACATGACATCCCCAAATCAGATTTGAAAACTGAGTTTTAAGTCGGCTGCTCAGCGCTATCTACAGGGACTCAAATCATCAGACCCCTGTGTGGATGGGGACAAAGGTGAGGGGTGGGGGGGTGTGAATGGATGAATTTGAGAAACACTTTCAGCAAGTTGTGCCCATCGCATTGGGAAACACGCGGAGGATGAGCTGCTGTCGTTTCATGAAAATATCAGAAGCAAAAGATGACCAAAAATAATGCCTACTAAAGCTAAGTGTGGGAGGGATTTGACGAAGTTGCTTTAAAAAGATGAAGGCTGTGTCCCAAACACCAGCAGCTGTTTGCTTCAAGGCAGAAATCAACTGGGGAGACAAAAGCATTCACTTCCAAATTTTGTTTAAAATGAAAACAAAACAAGCAGCTATTTGTTTTGTAAAGCACTGTCAAAGCTGGACGTGTGAAAATGGGATCAAATATATACATGTGCAGCTATGCGGACCCTACACGCTCTCATGAAAAGGCATACAGAACGAGAAAGGAAGATAGATGTGAACATGACCCCTTTCAAAAAAAGCAGACAGCACCAGTACAGCCAAAGTCATCACAATAGCTACACACAACCATAGGCATCGTTGCCATGTACTTTAACTCAGACAGGAAATCTGTAATCGATAGCCAGGATATCAGGTCTACAAAGAATGTCCAGAACCCTACCTTTGACTTTCTTCTCTCTTGGTTCTGAGCCGCCAGCCGCCTCTGTATGTTAAAAATAAAATAAAGCAAAACAAAACAAACAAACAAACAACAAACAGTAAAGGAACAAACAGAGAGAGAGAGTAAAATGTGTCACTAGAGTCAAGGAATCAACAGTTACCAGCAACAGGCATATGAACACTGGTGGGGAGGGCTCCTCCTCCCCTCACTCCCCCAAACTTCTGACCATTTATTTAACTTTTAACTCTCTCTCTCTCTCTCTCTCTCTCTCTCTCTCTCTCTCTCTCTCTCTCTCTCTCTCTCTCCTGACAGCAGCTCTTAGAGAGGGGAAAAAGCAGACCTTGATGGCTTCGGGCTATTATGTGATTATCTGCCCTTGCTCACTAGTATACAAAAAGAGGTAACACTTTTGTAGTTTCCGTCAAAGAAAATCCATACAGGCTATTTGCAAGAACAGTTTGTTTTCTCTCTGCCAAATCTCTTTCTCTCATAACTCATGGTGTATTTAATTATGTCACTTTTTCAGTATCGGCAGTCACTCCCCATGTCCCATCTCCCCACCTTTGTAACTTCCTCTCTCTCTCTCTCTTTCTCACGGAATTCTAGGGCTTAGGTTTGTTTGCTAATAAGAATTGAAACTTAGCCTGCCCATGAAGATCACCAGAGCTCACGTCTTAGATTTTTCTTAGTTTGTCATGAGCTGGGTCTTCATCTTTCTATGAAATAGCAAATCCATTTTTAAAATTCCACTAGCCTAAAGCTGCCTCAGAAGAGGCTCTTCACAAACTCCTTGAGATGGTCTGGAAATTAGTATAGCGTGCAATACTAATCCTGGAAATTGAATGTTGGGTGTAAATTCAGCCATTAAATACATTCTTTGGATATTTTTCATTTCAAAGGACTTTCGAGCACAGTTTGGTAAAAAAAAAAAAGTGAGTAATAATTGGGAAAGGCGAGAATTAACTGTACAGATTTCCTATTCATTTTACTAGTCAAACTCTCCTTTTCAAAAAATGAAAACAAACCTTCAAAGTACCCTAAAAATGAAAGGAAGGAACTGTACACAACGGTATGAGAAAGAGCTGTTTTCCAGGCTCACCTGCAGTTCCAGCTTCTCCTCTTCATCCAGACTTTCCGACTTAACAATACCATTCTCTGGAGTGGCCCTTTCCTGCTCATTCCCACCTTCCTCCACTATCGCCTGATTCAGGTCCCCTTGCTCAGACATTCTCTCAGACGCAAGTTAAAATAGCAAGGTTTGATGCCCTACAAGGTGAAGCTGTCAGAAAATAAAAATCAGTACCGAGTGAAGTATTTACTATCCTTCTCAAGATATTTAATGTCTCCCTTTATATTCAAATTCCCATGAACAGCTCACGCATCCCTGCCAATTTTATACAAAAGGAGAATAAAACAAATACCCGAAGCAAACATAAGAGGCAGATTCAGTGGCCCTAGCCACGCCCTCTCTCCACACACACACACACACACACACACACACGTGAACACACCTTGCCATCAAAATGGGTCAACAAATCTTAAACGGAGCCATGTAACTCCCACACATCTAACAGTCCCTTCGCCCAACTACAGTATAGAAGAAAAGAACAGAAAAAGAGAGTATTTCTCCAAGTCTTGAACAGACGCCCCTCCACGTCTGGGTCGAGAGGTAGTATTGAGGTTCTGCAGCACCTCTGAGATAACTCAAAAAATTATTTGCAAGTTTTAACCGTAGACATACTTTCCTGTGTATAATGAACACAATACACTCAACAAGGGACAAAAATCAATTTAGGAGGTAATGATTCCATTACAAACATGGGATCTCAACTTGGCAATAAACCTTTCAGAGCCAACATTTTCAGGCTGCAAACTGACAGGTAGTTTATGAAAAGTATAAGGCATCTTCCCAGCTCCTGTCATGGGTTGGTGCTGCACGGGTTCTGCAGACGGAAGTGCCTGGCAGGCAGCTCTAATGAAGCTATCCCATCTGAACTCTGCTACTCCAGGCTCATAAGAGGCTACTCCACAGACCCTAGAAATGGCTTTTCACATAAAGCCTGCTATTTATTCATATTTCCCCCTACTTCCATAAAGCCCCTGACCGGTCTCCCCCTTTTTATTTCCATTTTGAACATGTTTTTAAAAAATTATTATTATTAGTTTCATGTGTACAATGCACTAGTTATCCTTTTCACCCTCACAAAGTGACAACCCCCCTCCCCCCATGAGGGAGAAGGGGAAGGAGTGAGACAACATAAATTGGTAACTACAATATTGCCTCAGGGATAGAAAAGACAGTTTGGGGTCCCCTTTTGATGTGCTGTCAAATGAGGCTTATGAATAATTTAGCATTTACTTTCGCCTCAGTTTTTTTAAGATGTGAGAAACAAAAAGAAATAAGAAAGAAGGGAAAGAAAGAAAAAGTGGAAGGAAGGAAGGAAGGAAGGAAGGAAGGAAGGAAGGAAGGAAGGAAGGAAGGAAGGAAAAAAGAAAGGTGGGAAGAAGGACAGAAGAGAAGAAGGGAAGAAGAAAGTAAACAGAAAAAAGAGAGAAAGACATTATAGCCTAGAAAGTCAGTTTTTTCACAAAAATTCCCAAGCAGTGACCGTCTGTTTCTGGTCCCAATCATTACAATGGTTAATTCATATTGGACAAATCACTATTTTGATATGTTTCTTTGGGAGTGTTTAATTACCATTTACTATTTCAGTAACTTTCTTTCTAACTGGATATAGAAAGTATGAGAAAAATCTAAAACACAGCAATTTCTCTTGTAAATTTGCTAAGATCTACCATGACAGAACAGCTGGTATCTAATGATATCTTTTAAAACCGTACGCTCCTTTGGCAAAGGATTGTGGGAATGTAAAAGAAAAAAGTTTTCTTAAAGGGTGATGGTTTGAGTCCGTGAGTGACTCGTGACCAAGGCTTTTTGGTTTGGGGAGGTTTTAGGCTATTCCACCCAGAGCATTCTGACAGATTTCTCCTCTTTCAGTGACACTGGGTATGTGTGTAGCTAACAAAATAAAAAGTGCTGTTTCCCAACGGCAAACAGCTTGCTTGTCAGTGTACTGGGTAGGGGGAGGGGACGGGACGCTTGTCGCCTTAACTTTTTTTCAGAGCATTTAATAAAACAACAACAACAACAACAACAACAACAAAAAAAAAACCAGATTTAAAATGGAATGAACAAATTGAGTTCAATTTTACAAACTGGAAGCCATTTGAATCCTTGATACAGATCCCATCTGCCTTGGGTTACACTTAATGAAATGTCCTATGCAACCAGGCACATTTACATAATAATAACAATAAAGAAATACAGATGAAATGACAGCCAGACAACAAGACTTTTACCTTGGGCGCAGAATTCCTGCTGTAGGTCTTGGCCACTTACTAGCGGCTTCTGTCGTTCTACACGGGGAAAATCCACACAAGTGATCACAGACAACTGGTGTCCCATGTCCCCATTAACAGATCGGAACGCCCATGTCCGTGCGAGGCCCTTACACAGTTTGACACATCGTCAACCTGAAAAAAAGATGAAAAGTCAATAATAATAATTGCAATAATCATGGTAGGGGTGAAGGACGAAAGAAATAAGACCGGATTTCTAAAACTAATGACCAGCTTCCAGCAAAATCACGTTCACAGCTTGATCCAGCTCCACCTGTCTCAAGCTGCCTGCTTCTCTTCTAATGAAGGCTACAGCCGGCTGTTCAAGTCAGAGCGGCACCCACGCAAGGAGCTAAAATTAACAATTGCATTATGCACCGAAGATTACTCACTTCAATGTTAACCTTTTTTAGTGAAATCTCGCACTTTATATATATATAAAAAACAAGCTTATGTGTTTGCCTCAGTGAGAACCCAGATCACCTATGAGCAAATATCTTGCCTCCTGTTTAAACCAAAGACTTTGTTTTAGAGATTCATATAATAATCCAATATACCTTCATTCTGTTGCCGTGACTCCTTTCTTTATGAAAGTTAAGTTATCCTAGAGAAGCGTAAAGATTTTGATTTAATGAGGCATTATCTGTAAAAGTTAAAAAAAAAAAAGGACAAAAAAGAAAACGTTTACAGTGGCATGACTGAAAGAGCTCTTTCCTTTCCACTTACAGTTTGGGAAGCAGCATTCCTAATATTCTTGCTGCACGGGGAGCACAGCCTATCTGGACCCCTCCCTTCCCTTGAGGATTGCCACTGCCATCTGGGCATTCTGTTTGACAGCAAAGGCACCCTGTCAGAGGGAGTCAGCAGATTGGCAAACTTAGAGCCTGTTGAAAACAATCCATGCTACAATGTGCACTTTCTTTTTCTCACAACTCCTACAGGAGCAGAGGCAAAGGCAGATTGAATGTAAACAGAGACGGATCCCTAATACCATTTGCCAAAAGCAAGCTGTATCTCTCGCCTTTTGCTGCAGTGCTAACCCTGTGGCACACCTGTTACAGCCAACAGCATGCACACCTCATCCATCACATATTCCTCTTTGCAAACACCGAATGCATCTCAGTTAGTCACTCTGAAGTTTAGAAACCCTCTCTGCCTCCCCCTCGCAGCAGCCCCCTTCCCAAGATTAAACGAGCACAGCTGGTTTGTCACCGGATTTTACTGCGGCTATATTAACAACATATTGGGTTACAACGCCATTTGTTGTGTAAGGGAAAAACAACTTTTGAAAATGCAATCACTTATGCAATCAATAATTTTTAGCTTTATTCATGTTTTATTAAAGTGGATAATTTGGCTTTAAAATATGTTTCTTTTGTCATTAGAAATTATGTAGCTATTGAGAGATAAGCAAAATGCATTTAGGACAAAAAAACTGAATCGCTAATCCATCGTAATTTTCCTTTTTCAATTTTGACCAGTTTCACCATGGCTACTACAACAAATATTCAATAATAAATAGAAGTCAACATGTCTTAAAATTAGAATCTATTTAAATAATCAGTCATTATCTAATATGTCTTAGAATAGGCACTAGTAATGGATAAAATTACCAAATGCTTTTTGGATTCTGTTTTCTATTTTTCCCAAAGAAAATAAAGTTATCAACGATCATAGCAACCTTTTTGTCTCCTTTTTCTGATCCTCATCTTTGTACAGTGACCTTTAATCCAAAAGGTGAATGGTAATGCAGTTTTCAAATCTAAACCTAGTCGCATTATTCCAGCCCCTGTAGGTGGATGCAAGATGTAATTCTCTCCATGAAGAAAAAGAACAAACTGATATCCACTTAACCAACTCAAAGCGCGAACAGCCTGAATATATGTGTGTACATAATTACCAAGACACGTTTTGAAATAGCACCGAGCTCTAGAGCCAGCGAGGTATTATTCTTGCATGCCTGAATCATAAAGTCATCATCTACCAAGATAAAAGCGAATATGGGCATATGGGAATGAGCAGAGAGGAACATATGGATCACAAATATTTTTGTAACTGATTAAAATTGTTCTCTTTGCTAAGAAAGCAGTGCCAGGAAATAAACCCTACTCCAGCTTTCTGTTCACCAAACTAGCCTGATTCTTCCATTTCCATTTATTCTCAATCTATTCCAATTTCTCCCATTTTCACCAAGAAGCAAAACTATTTTTAACTATATCTTTTATCCAACCTTTAGTTAATAGATATTCTGGCCAAGTTTCAGTTACTATAATTGGAGGGGTGAAGGGAGAAAGGGGAGACTACACAGATGCACAAAATAAAAGTTACTGCAGTTCTTCCAGTGAAAATATTTTAACCGTAGTAGAGGGTAGTATTTAGTAAAGGCAGTTTATCGCTTGCAAAACAAGCTATAGGAAATTGATCAACAATGCTGTCAGCTATTTACGATGAGGAAAATAACTGTCATTTCACCTTATATTTTCGTTGTTTCGTACTTTTTCAGCTTACTTGAGAGTTGAAAATACAATAGTAGCAATTATGGGATTGTAGGGATGAGAAAGGCACGATGCAAAAATACTAAATGCTCTGTCTTTCATCAGCACCAACAAAATAGGTGTGTCCTAATAGTGTGTGTGTGACATATATGAATCACTGGGCTATCGTGTGGAGAAAGAAAATCAGGACTTGATTCAAATTCCAGCAGTGATTTAGTTCTCAGGGGATAGTTAAAATGGGAAATGAAAGTTGAATTCTATTAGCAAATTGGGTGGGTCACTTTCTTAGTCACTCTCCTCACAATCTTTTTACTGAAAATTAACACAGGATGACTAATGTTATCCCAAATCAGGATAGGTACTTTATGACAAAACAACAGAATCGAGATTTACTTATTTGAATGACTAAAATGGTCCCTCCCATATGACTATTTCTTCTTTTTCTTTTTTTTTATTAAATTTGTTGTCACAGTTCTGCAAATGCAAGCCATTCACAAATTGTGGTGATATTAGTGATTTGTCATTTGCTGCATATGGCATTTAAAAGCTGCAACACCTTATAAACCCAAGGAGGCATACCCTATTCTCAAAACAGTTATTTTGTTAAAGTTTTTTAAAAATGTTATGAATATGTAAGATTAAAATTAAAAGAGTAAAAGAAAAAATAAGTGGAATGTAATCTTTTCAGAAACGAGAGCAACCATAGCATTAACAGGATGTACAGACTAATATCTTCAGCAAGTTTGAAAATTTCCCCAGGTAACAAAACAAAACAAAAAAACATCAATAGGAAATTTTCACACAAATTTAATTTCCCAAAGGAAATGTTCTTCTTCAATACATGAACAAGAAACACTAAACCAGGAACTGTACCCTTTAATTAAATTCTTTTTGGTCGACCCAATACATAGGCATTCTGTAAGATTCCTGAGCCACCCATGCAAATTCCAAAATTACCAGACAACTGTGTTGAAAGAAAAACCTAGCAGGATATTTAAGAAAAGGAATTTTCATATTAGGGCTTTAGGGAGTAGAAATATTTTAAATGAATATTCTTATCTGAGCTTTAAAAGCTAAGCAATTTATAAGCATATAGTAGTTCATATGTGGAATATCAATTTTTCTCTCTAACCATTATAGTAAACTGGACACAATACAACTTACATCTACCTTTAGCAGAATCACAGTAATGGAAACAGCTGATGTCAAAACTTTGGGCATAAGAACAGCCCCACAATAATCACGAGTGCCTCTGAAACTAAGACAGGTGTGATCTCAACAAAAACATCCAAAAGATAAAGGCCAATGTTTCAATTCTTGTAACAAGTCTTTATGGAACCTCTACTATGTTCAAGGATATTCTACATTATGACATGATGTTCAGGTCAAATAATACAATCTCTAAAATGCCTTCTTTTTTTCCCCTAAAAATTAATAAAACAAAATAAAAGTTAAATACTTCTAATGGGTCCATATGAGAAATTTAAAAAAAATGGATTAAATAATGTTATCCTTACCATCCCCTTTTTGATTATTCATGAACTGGAAAATAAAGATGGCTTCTGCTTTTATAATTTTTCCATGTTTTCTGTGTATCTCAAAGGCAGGAAGATATAAACTTGGGAGAGGTACGTAATGCACTGGATCCTAGAATAAATATTTGGCTAACCCCATAAAATGAACTAATTGATGAAAGTAATAAAGTGGAATGCAGCAGGGGCTGATATAAGATCTTACATTTGGGTTCTGAAAAACAAAAAAAGTTGTATCACTTTCAGCTTAGACAAAAGAAGACTTAGGAAGGACAGAATAGCTATTTCTAAATGCTTAAAGCATATTCAGATAAAGAGAAGCTGGCCTTGCTTGTATGTGTAGCTACAAAGGTTAGAATTAGGAGGAAAACAGAACCTGCTTTTTAAAACATAGAACTACCATATGACCTAGTAATTCCACTTCTAAATATACATCCAAAATAATGGAAAGCACTCAAACAGATGTTTGTACACCGATGTTTATAGCAGTGTTATTCATAATGACCAAAGGTGAAAACAGCCCAAGTGTCCATCAACTAATGAATGGATAAACAAAATATGGTATAAGCATACAATGGAATATTATTAAGCCATAAAAAGGAATGGAATCATTTTTAATGCCCAAACTTACTCTAGGCTTAGTCTTGCTGCACTATAAACATCAGGCTGTCAATAACCTGGGTGACAGAGCTGGATGTAACGGAGAAGCTTTGTCCCATCATAGGCTCAGTTTACTGCATAGATTTTTATTGCAGGTAAAGAGAATCTGCAATAAAATCAGTGCTGCTGCCATGTTATAAAATAATCCAGATAATCTGAGAAAACATTGAGGATCATTTTGGTTTGACTGTGTGTCCACTGGGACTAGTTCCAGGATTTTTACATAGCCTCAACTTTCATAACTCATGAAGGCTAATCCCCACTTTCTATTTCCTACTTCATTCTACCAAGAGTCTAGGCATGATTTATCCATATACAGAGTAGTGTCATTGACCTCTGGACTGGTGCAAACTTAAAAAAAAATCCATGCCAGTACCTAAAGAACCATAGCACTGCAAAGAACCTTGAATTCAGTGTGTGTAACTGACATAAAGTCCATGACTTGTAC